CATGACTGTATTTCTTTGGAAACATACTGCATCGTTTCTCAGCCTTTTGGCTAAGATTGCGTGTGGACATATATTGTATAATTTCTTCAGAAAACAAATAAAAAATGTTTTAATTACAACAAATTGTAAATTGTTATTCTAAGTTCTTTTGACTTTAAATTGGACCAATGACCAAGAAACTTCCAGTAGCTTTCTATACAATTCAGTTCTCAATTTTCTCTGTGGTTTGTTGGACATGCTTTGAAGTCAACTGCATGGGAACACCCATGAGGGCCAAGATAAGACCCTGGGTTTGTATTATACAGTAACAATATATATGATCATCATTTTAATGGCTATAAGTCAAAAAGTGCCATTAGGATTCTTTTTAAGGTTCTGACCTTGAACTTTAAAATGTAAGCAAAGTTATACAGAGGTGCAGATGTGCCATACTGTCTTTTTAGATGGTTATGTTCATCTCAGGCTCTTATTTCTAATATTCATAATGTAGGTTTGTAATTAGTGATGGCTCCCCAGAAATGAACAGTCCCAAATTTGACCTCATTAAGAAATGCCTTAAGAATAGCAGAAAAATAATTTGACAAGTAAGGAGAGAGTTCACAAAATAATCAAAAGAGAATCCAAGATTAACTCAAAATGGCGCTAAAAGTAGAGAAACCTTCAAATATGCACACAGAGACCTTCAGAATGTTTGCAGGTAAGTCTATCAAATTCTAGTAACAAATGTTTATTTTAAAAATTAGAATTTAAAAGATGTGTCTCCACTACCTCAGTCTGAGTGCACCAGGACCTGGAACCCACCTCCCTTGAGCACAGAGTATGAAGCATTTCCTGTGTATAGAAAAAAACACAGAAAAAGTGTTAAAGGTAAGTTTCCCACTGAAACCTTCGGGTAAATTGATCTGAATCTATTTTCAACCCAAATCTATGTATTAAATCAGTGTTCTCATAAAGAGAGATTTTGCCCCTCTTCCCCCACTCCCCAGAGAGGAGGGCATTTGAAGATGTGGAGATATTTTTGATTGTGCTACTGGCATCTAGTGGGAAGAGGCCAAGCATACTGGTAAACATGCTATAATATATAGGACAGCCCCACCCCCAATAAAGAATCTAACCCAAAATGTCAATGGTCCCAAAGTTAAGATACTCTGCATTGAACAATCACAAATCATCTTTGTGCAAAACTGATTTTGTAAGGCAAAAATGCAATATACTTTGGATAGCAAAGGGAAGATGAAAAAAGGTTATTCTCCAGTAGACTATTATTTGCGTTTTGAAATGTCTCCTCTACAACACAATGTCTTACCAATACCTCCAATATATTAGCAACTGCTTGCTCATCCAATCCATGTCAAAAGAGTAGACCAGTGTCATGTTCCATGGGATGTCACCTGATCCAAGTCTCCTTGGAATAATTCGGGGTAGAACCCTAACCGTAAGGCAAGATGGAAATATATGCTTTTATCCATTCCAGATTTATGCAGAATGTTTGATTCTCTTTCTGATTGAAATGGAAAAGAAGGCCCTTGCCAAATCAGTGGTTGCAAACCATGACCGAAGATGTTCTTAATCTGCTCTTGCAAAAACAGCCAAGATGCTCAACAGAGCTACTAGTTAGCTGAGTTTGCAGTAGATTAATGGCATCCTCAAGAATCTATCTGATCTTTACAAGGGAAAGATTAGTGTATTAAAATGTAAATATGAAGACCATACCCACCTGCATCTTTAATTTTCTCCATTCTCTCTCCATTGTTTCAATTTCCTATCTTGGCTGAGAGAAGGGCAGTTTTAGAGACTCCCATTTGGACTTCCACCACTGTACTAGTTTGAAGTGTCCCCTGATCCCTCAAAACTCATATCCTTTCTGAAACGTCGAAATATGACTTTATTTAGAAATAGGGTCTTTGCAGGTGTAATTAATTAAGACAAGGTCATACTGAAGTAGGTTGGGCCCTAAATCTGAAAATGACAGTGTCCTCAGAAGAGACATCAAGATTCACAAGGAAGGTGGCCATGAGACAAAGTCGGAGTTAAGCAGCTACAAGCTAGGGGATTCCAACGATTTCTGGCAACTACCAGAAGCTAGGAAAGAAGTGTGAAACTGATTCTTTCTCTGAGCTCCCAAGAAGGAACAAACGCTGCCAACACCTCGATTTCGGCTTTCTGGCCTCCAACTCTGAGAGAATAAATTCCTGTTGCTTTAAGCTACACAATTTGTGGCACTTCATTATGGCAGCCCTGGGAAATCAAGACACTCACTATAATAGTTCTTATCCCACAAGCCAAGGAAACAGTGTGGGATCAGGACAGCTTCTAGGTATGTCATGTCCATTCCCATCATAAATCCAGGGGCTGGAGACGGGAAGATCAGATGGGTCGACAGACAAGCAGACTCACTGTGAACAGGAGGATCTAGGCCAGGATTTATTGCCTGGCCCTCAAATGCCCGCACTGTGACAGAGGGACCATGATGATGCTTTGGGTCTCTGGGTCTCAGTATCAACTTTTTACCATGTCCAACATACCTTGAAATATTTGGGACACTCTTTTTCCAGTGTATAGTCACTGGAGTTAATGGCCATAACTGCCTACCACTTGTATCCCTTTGGAGGCCTGGGAGGACAGATACTCTGTACAGTTCCCAGGATGTTGCCATCTGTGACCCCATGCTGTAATAACTGCTTACCGTCACCTCCTAGGCAAGTCAGCACTAACTTCAGAAAGATGTTGGTGTGCCCCTAACTAGTACCTTCCTCGTTGCTTTGAGTTTGACCTCCTCTTGTGTTTTATGGTCTCGTATAGCACACCTCCTCAAGCATGTTTGATTCTGTAAGTCTTTTCACCCCTTCTTCCATTATGCTACAAACACTACCCTTGTACTTGCCCTTTGTATAGACGTTCCCTGTCTATAATGCTTTTTCACTAGCTCACCTTTTTCTCAGCATGTTACCAATCTCAGTGTGGTCTGAACAGCAATAGCTACTCCAGCTCCAATACTCCTTACCTATCTTTTTCACCATCTTTTTTTTTTATATATATAGTAGTTTGTCTCTTTCTACTATAATAAAAGTTCAGTGAGGGTAAAGATTTTTGCTTCTTATCTAATAGGTATGTAATAAAATATTTGTGAATACATGAATAAGGGATGTAATCTTGCTTAAACCTTAAAGATTCTGGACACTGTCAGGGATGGTCCTCAGGAACTACCTGCCGTCCTAATTTGGGGGAGGTAGAGTCTAAAGCAAGCATACTTAGCAGTTACAGTGGCCCCTGTTTTTTCTTTCACCAAACAGAAGCTGTATTCGCCTATATTTGAAGACTAGAACTTGCATTTTTCACTTTGTAAGATTTATTCTTAAGAGAGCCAGAAGAACAAAATGACTTTTTACTTTTTCAGTTCAAAATTTTTCAGTTATAACACATGTATTACCTATTTATTAAAAAAAAGTACAGCAAAAAGATAGTATCTCGAAAAATTAAGAAATATTATGACATTAGAATTTAGTTTATCAATTTGTAAAGGCTGACTAAGAATAATTTTGATCTCATTCAATCACAAACTTGATTGTAATCAACAGAAAACAAATATCAACTTCGTAATAATTACACAATAATATCAGTAGAATAATTGGCCAAAAAAATTATTAGTCACTACATAAATAAGACAATCAACATTCAGTATCTTTTCCTACAACTATGTGACAAAAACATTATATTAATAAATAAGAATTGGAAAAGGTGATCAGAAACAATGATATCATGTTTTAGTAAAATTATCATAATGTTATGGTTACTGATACATATAAGAATTACAAAACAAAAAGAGAAATAAAATTGTGACCGAAGTGAGAGATCCATTTAGCTAGTCTTTAATTAAGAAGGTCACAACACAGAATTTGGAAAATCCTATTATCAGAAATTTAGATAAAATTTACAATAAAACTTAAGTAAAAAGAAAAATACTGGGTTGTAAAAATCTCAAACTTAGTTAAGTCCCAGCTGAAAGCTCAAAAGGTCAAAAGCTTGAACATAGAAGGTCCACCTAAATAGCTGCCAGTTTACTCTCTGAAGGCAGATCCAGATTTTGTTTATATTAGCATTTAGTTACTTCAAAGGTAGCCCTTGGTCAATTCCAATCATTAATTGAGCAACCTAACTAGCACTGTTTCTTAGTCTCATGTCATCAAAGTGTAAACTTTCATAACCTGCGATGGCCATTTTATTGGTAAATGTGTAACCTTGAGAAGGCATATATGTAGAAATGGAAAAAAAAATACTTCGAATTATTGTATTAATACTCTTTGGGCATCCTACAATTTATGCAATTTATGTGGTAGCAAGTCTCTACTCATGTAGTTTTCTATATGTTGTCTATTTTTAAGATGCTTGAAATTATTAAAAAGTTAATTCACTTAATTTAAAAAGATGATTAATTTGATTTCCAAGAGTTACTTAGATGCTTGGGAATAATTTGTTCATTGAATTTAAAATCTCTTTTTTAAATTTATTTTTCAATTACAGTTGACATACTAGTTTCAGGTATCCAGCATGGTGGTCAGACATTTATCTACTTCATTAAGTGATCACCCGATAAATCTAGTACCTATCTGACGCTATACACAGTTATTGACTAAGTGTTTGAGAGAATCAAATTTATTCGAAAATTCTAAGAAAACTGATTAATATGTAAGTAGTGTTAAATATTTGGGTATGTAATTAATAATAAGCATTTTATTATTTTAACAGATTAATGACTGCCTTATATTTTCACAAAATAGATGAGGTAAAAAGATCTACAAGAATACCTAGTTTAAGTTTAAAATATAAATGTGAATTAAAATACAAGTAACTGTCCACGTTCCTTCTGTACTTGAACACAAAATTATAGTGCCAGGTTTTTTTCTTCATTTTTAATATGAGCCACTCATTTCATCGATACTAAGTAACAAAAAATTCATTTCAGTACACAAAATGAAAGGGTTGTCTTAAATTTTCAGTTCTTAAAGCTTATTACTAATATTTATTTTTTCTTAAAAGGCAGCATTGAGAATTACTTACATATAACACATTATGAATAAAAAATAAGTAAACTTTTACCTTATAAGAATAGCTGATATAAAAATTATCCACCCGAGAATAAATTCTTTCATTATATGTTACAAGTTCTTTCAGGAAAGAAAATGAAAAATCGATGTTAGCAATATTAAAAATACATTAAGGATAAGTATATCTATTTTTCAAAAATTAACGCCTATATATTTGTTACATGAAAATACTGTATGGTGTTTCATCAAATTCAGAGTACAATCAAAATAAAATATTGCGTAACATAATAAAAACAATGACAACACTCACCCTAAGTAAAATTAATTGTGTTCCAATACTAGTGTTAGTACCACTAGCAAAGCATTTGTCCCAGTACATTATAGTTAGTTATTTAAGAATGTATCTTTCTCCTACTAGATTAGAAGATCTTACAGGGCCAAAACTGGTAGTCGTCTTTCTATCCAAAGAATACACTGCTTGAAATATAGTCACTAATAAGTCCGCTAAATTAAATTACTCTAAAACATTTTAATGATTAAAATTAAAATATTGGTTTAAGATAGCATGTCTCAATTTTAAAAAGTTTTTAAAGAAAACCTACAGCCTTTTACAAAGAACAAACTGAAAAATAAAAAATTAAGAGCCCACAAAGTGAAATGTAAAGTATACTTATCACGGTTTTAACTGTTACCGACTGCTTGGTTCCTGAGTGCCGCAGACAGAGGTTTGCCTTATTAGTAGTCATCACAGTCACGCAGTCAAGTCCAGCCTTTACTTTCAAAATTATATCATGGATAGAAAATATACACTAAGTGATGAGTTTTTTCTAATTTTTGCCTAATATATGCATTTACATTTATTTGTATTGCTATATAAAAGTTTTGAGATCAGTAATTTAAGGCATTTTAAAGTAACATATGTTCAAAAACATGAACAGTACACTGTAAATAAAGATAAACTGCATATTTGACTTTCTGTGTCTTCCTCCCATTTCACTTACCCTTGCTGTCCTAAGGATTAAATTACACTTCTGAATAGGAAAAATTATGTTATTGTGAAAAAGGAACAGAAGATTCCTACAATTAATTTAATTCATGACCAAAATATATTCACTCTAGGTATGTAAAAACTAAAAAGAGTTAATTCAAATGTCTTTTTTAAAAAAAGGTTATAAGAGTACAATAATAGTAAAATAACTAAATGAACATAATAGATAAGAACATTAGTCTGACTAATCAGCATAATCTCAACTTTCACTTTGCAGGGAAAAAAAATTTACTTTCCATTGATCACATTTTCACAGATGTAAAGTGATGGTGACCAAATCAATGTGCAAAAGAAGGTAAAATTCTATAATAGTCATGCTCCACTTTAAAATTATACACCTTTCTCACTATGGTTAGGTTCTAAAAAAATCTACTTTTTCAAGTGATTGTCCTAGTAAACTATAGTTTTGTTTTACACTGCGTTTAAGTGTCCAAGGTAATAAATACATAAACACATAGCTACAAAAACACATCTCAAAAGAAAAGAAGGTGTTCGTATGACTATTAGACACTATAAGACAGCTCTTTAAAGTTACACCACCATTTAGCAATGACTTATTCAGAAAATGGAATGTGCTATTTATTAATTTGTCTACAAGGTAAAGATTTTCTTTCAAACGTGTCTGGAATTGTACTTATCATGCAGTACTTAAGTTCAATACTAAAGAATGTAAAAGTGAGATTCTCAGATGAAGAATCCAAAAGCCTTGAATCATGAGGCAAGCGACTGTTAATAAAAAATTAAAAACTAGTGCCAACTCAATCACACAGGGAGAAGTAACTTAGCTGTGGGTTGTAAAATCCAAGAGGAAACTGTAAGTCAGCTCATTTAGATGAGTTTGAGGACCTCTAAGACAGGAGTGTGCACAGCAGCTACCAAAGCAAGGCGAGGAAGTACCAGCCATATACCTTGCACTACGACTGAGAGAGGAACATTATTTTAAATCAGCTGCCAGAGCCTAAAATCACCGATGTCTTATTACACAGTAGAGCTAAAAGTTAATTAAATTTTGCCTATTTTAAATAGTTAATTTTATTAAAGGGTTTGTCTATTTAAAGAAACTCAGTACTAAATTCTTCTTTTGTTGCTGTATCACACTCCCAAATTATGTGCTTTTGCAAAGTTAATACTTTCATTCATCTGGTTAAAATATATTGTCAATTCTACTATATTTTACCAATATTTCATACATGGGTCTACAATGAAGTACAGTTGACCCTTGAACATGAGTTTGAACAACACAGGGCTGCTAATGTGATTTTTTTTTTTTTCAATAAATACACAGGCGTATTTTCTCATGATTTTCTTAACATTTTTTCTCTAGCTTAATTTATTGTAAGAATACAGTATATAATACATATTAACACATAAAACATGTATTAGTTGACTATTAATGTTATCGCCAAGGTTTCTGGTCAACAGCAGGCTATTAGTAGTTAAGTTTTTGAGGAGTCGGAAGTTATACACAGGTTTCTAATTGATGGTGGTGGAGGTTGGGGCAAGGTTGGTGCCCCTAACCCTCACATTGTTCAAGGGTCAACTGTATTTTCTGAGATTACATTAACCATAACCTTACTTCAACTGTGACAGAGTGAAAGTGATGAGTCTTATTAAAGAGAATTATATATGTTATATATGTATAAATTTTGCTGTAAGCAAAAGAAATGTACTTCAAATACGTAAGTTATCTACGTCTAAAATCACTTAACATAGCAAGGTCTCGCTTAATTTATTATGATTGATGAGTGCCACCTAGTGGATGTCCCTTCCCACAAACTTCTATCTGCACTAAGTGAGATTGTCTAATACTTATGCTGTACCTTTTGAGGATGCCAACATTCATTCAAAGTTTCTTCTAGAAATTAAATAAAAGCAAGAAACTTTTGTTTTATATCGCCTGTCTACATACTACTTATATATTTGTTTTTTATTTAGATTGGGACATTACATTCTTATTAACAAGATGGTATAAATGGAAAAACAAAGGTAACTGTTCGAAATAAAATTACTCTATTACTATTTCTTTAAATCATAAATTTAGAAGCACTGTTTTTGAAAGGCAAAAAAGTAAAAATTCAACTTCGCATACAGACTAAAGTTCAATACACTTCAGATACAAACATGCAGTTTCAATTAATTACACGTAAGTTTTATTTAAAGAAAAAAAAACATACAACCATGGTATTTCAATTAAGGAAGTTAGGAAAATCCCATGCTTTTCATGGGTCTTCAGTTACCACTCAAATAATACACTTTTTAAAGCAGTTAAAACAAAGTGAAAAACAAAGAAATTCAGTAAGCAGATTGAGCAACACAAATTCAAAACACTACTCTATCTTCCTGTGTTCTTTTCCACCAAAGGGTGCTGTTTAGAGTTCCACAACTATTATCTTCTTCCTCTTGTTCTTTAGTGAGTTCAACAAAAACCTAAACAGAAGTGAATAAATGAATACAGTACTGTTATCTCAATGCCCTCAATTACCTGATTTTAACTAAATCAGAAACAGTATATGGCTATATCTATTGTATTAACGACTCAAGTATCGAGAGATTTATTGCTCTTAATATATTTAAACAGAATAATCCCCATTAATCACATACAAAGATGAATGTTACTTTGGAACAGTAACAGATAATTTGGTTTTTGATTAATATATTTAAGTAGCACTAGCATAAAAAATAATTTATAAATATTTAAGCAATGTAATTTGATATACTAATATGAAATAACATTATCATGACCCACTTTCTTCACTAAACTGAAAAAAACTGAGCTACTCAACATAAGCAGATCTTGTTTAAAATTGTTTTAAATTTGTTTAAAATTATATGAAGTTTAGCAATATTGTAATGACAGTTGTCTCTGGTTCACAAACTCCCTTCTCTCCAATATAAATCTAAACAATTAGATATTGAACACTTTCTTCTATAAAATAATTTTTTTTTTAATTTAACTTTATAGTACCTGTTCCAATGTTGCTTGAGAAAAGCTATATTCTTCAATGGCAAATGTATGTTTAGCTATTAAAACATGAAAACAATATTATACTTATTAATATTTTAAAGAATAAAAATGGCAGTAACTAAGTGGCTAATAATTGATTTTTAAAAAACAAAATCTCTGTAATCAACTCATTTAAATGTCATTTTCCTCTCTTTTGCTTCCTTTCTCTTCCCCACCCCCACAATTCCTCATGACCTAAGCGCGATAAATTTAATACTTGCTTCATTTCTCCTTTTCGAAGTATCTCCTCTTTACCTCCTCTATCTCCTTCATTTTTTTTTTTTCTTATTTCTTTTGATCTCTGCTTTCTATTTCCCACTCCCCAATTCCAACACAGCCTGTTCCTCAGTTCTTAAACTACATTCTGGAATTTGTTCATAGGACCGTATGTACCTTTTTATATTTATTACAGATTCTTTTGCAAATCTAATGCCAAAATTTCTGGTTTTCTATTCGTTTCTTTAACTTAATTATCCTTAAGTAGCTCAGGTGCTCTCTTTAATCATAATGAAAATACCAAGAAATACAGGTTGTTTTCACGGTTTATAAATGCCATAAAATAACCTGTGTCTGAATACTTGCACCATCCAGGAGCTGACTTCTCTCTACTGCCACCAGCATATCTTTATCTTACCTACCATTTACTTTAACAAGGACAGGATTCAATTAAGCTTCTTTAAAGCTTTTAGGAATGCCCACCCTCCTGCACTCTGAATTTTCCTCTCCTCTCTCCTGCTGCCATTGGAGTCTTGCCACCATTTCTACTTCTGTGGCCCTATATGAAGAAAGGGTTCAAGAAACTCAATGCTCCCATTTTTGAGCTGAACTAGAGAGGGCTAATTAAGCTGAACTTTATCATAGATGCAAGGTGAACACTGTGGTGATGTCTATTAAAATAGTAAAAGGTTCACACTACCAAATAGGTGATCTACCAAATCCCTACAATGTTAGTATATACCTGTACTTTAGATTAAATTAATAAAAGGTTATCTTCATATTTACTATAGTTTCTATAATAAACTGAGTCCCAACTTCTAAAAGTTTTTCAGTAAAATTCTTTTAGGATTTAAAGTGTAATTTTTTATAAGTAAAATTCTTTTATAACTTGAAAGCTACCTTAGCACATTTTTCAAATATTTCTTACCTTCTTCCAGCTTAGAAAAAGATTGTGAAAGGGACTGAACATCCTCCTTAGGAATTTTATAAGCCAAAATAGAAGAAAAACTGAAAACATAAATACAGGAAAATTTTTAAATTACTACTATGTCTAAAGCTAAATTTCAAAATTTTTTAAGTTCCAAATTAAATGCCAATAACTTATTTTTGAAACTTATTTTAAAACATTAATGCTTGACATCTTAAAATATTTCCATACAAAGTTACTCATTACTACAGAATGAGAACTGTAAAAGTTTAGATACTATCGAATACCGAAAGATCTAACACTAAGTTATAAGTCTCGTTATCAGACTATATTAGTCCAATACCAGTGATAATACAGACTTTTTCTCCTTAAACCTTAATACAATAACAAATTTTTATAATTATGGCTTTACAAAAAATATATAAATTTTTAAAGTCTTTACCTTTCCTGACGGATTGCATTTGGGAAAATATACTGAATTTCTCTTTGAAGGCGGTCTACTTCTAGGTTTTCTATCCAGTCTTTTAATTTAATTTCCAAAAAGTAACCTTTTCCAAATTTACTCTTCAGATGTTGGACTGTCCCAATACATCTATAGTAATTTTTAAAAGAAAGCTCAGATATAAAATGACTTGACAGTTTTCAAAAAATTATTTCTCACTTAAAGAATGATTTACATAAAATGTGTATAAGAGAATACTTTAAATTTATAGAAAAGTTGCAAATATAATACAGAGTCTCCATATACCCCTCAACCAGTTTCAGTTTCCCTAATATTATCATCTTACATCATCATCCACAGCACATTTGTCAAATTAGGAAACCAACACTGGTATATTACTATTAACTTTATTTGGATTTCACCAGTTTTTCCACTAATGTTCTTTTTATGTCTCCAGGTCTATCTAGGATACTATATTGCACCTACTTGTCCTAGCTCCTTAGTCTCCACTGGTCTGTGACAGTTTCTTACTCTTTCCTTCTTTTTCATAACTTTTGAGAGTTTTAAGAATAGGTCAAGTGTTTTAGTAGAATGTCTCTCAGTTTGAGCAGTCTGATTTTTTCTCATGATTAGACTGGGGTTACAGGTTTTTGAAGAAAATACAACAGAGCTGAAGTACCTTTCTTATCACATCATAGCAGGTGGTACGATATCCACCTGACATTGTTTGGTTAAGGTACTGTTTGTTTGTCAGGTTTCTCTCCTGCAAAGTTACTATCATTTCCTTTCTGTGCATTAGAAGAGACTGGCTGACTCCAGACCATACTTGGGAGATGGGGGATTAAGCTTCCCCTCCTAGAGGGGGTAGATTTCCCTCTCTTCACACATTTATTTATTCATTCAATCATTTATTTATGAGTATGAACTCATGTATACTTATTTTATACTTTGGGTTATAATCTAATACACCAGCTAGAATTTTTAAAAACAACAAATGTCATGACTGAAAATAGCACTCCAAGTTGTTGAATAATTAAGCCAATTCCAAATGCAAACTAGCCAGTCATATTTTGGGAAAAATTCCCATATTTCTGAGTAATTTTACAGAGAGCAAACAGCGAAAACGCAAGGAAAACTCTAACATTTAAATTAATATGCATTACTATAAGCTTTTTAAATGATGACATTTAAAAACTACCTCCCCACCCCCCCAAATGGCTGGTCAGCCATCTACCTTAACTGCCCAGATACCATGATGGCCACTCGGTCACAGACAGCCTCTGCCTCTTCCATATAATGAGTGGTCAGAATAGCAGCCCGTTTTTTGTTTTTAAAGGCAGTTCGAATTGCTCGCCTACAAACATAAAATAAAAAGAAATAAATAAATCTGAATATTAACAAAATTACTTGTATGCATGTAATAATTATTTTTAAAAATCCAACTATTTGGTTAATTAGGTTAATCGAAATGTATCATATTTCAATTGCTGTAGTTATATTCTGGCTAACTATTCTATTTTCTCTTATTTTTAAAAGCTTATAAAAGAAATTCTATGATTTCGAATGTTTCTATGGGTTAAAAAATGAATTATAAAAACTGATGCCTTTTCATGTTGTAACAAAAATAGCCATAGTATCATAGGAAAACCTTAACACGCATCTAAACCAAATTTTACATTTTATGGAAATCTAGGCTCAAAAGTTGGTCAACTAATTAGCACTGTGAATTCCTAAAAAGAGTTCTACAATAAATTCAAGACAATATTATTATGAGAATTATAATTTGTATGTTAAATAACTGGGGGAAAAAAACTTTTAAAAACTATTCAGACAGCAGTATTCTTTATTTTAATAATTACCTATATACTCATTTTTGTTTTGAAATATATAAAATATTATTAATACTGCATGAAAAATGATAGTTTTAAAAGTTTGATTCTCTAGAAATCAAAATATGTAATTTTACTTACAATTTTATTATTTGTGCAGCATTTAAAATCAATAATGTTTATATAATTAATACAAAACCGTTAGTTACAACAAAATAACGTATGATGTGGTATAATGTGCCATACTCACCACATGTGCTGCTTGGCTTTAGGGTCCATACCTGTAGAGGGTTCATCTAGCAAAGTAATCTGAGGACTCCCCAGCATACTTAGAGCAAAACACAACTAGATGGACAGAAAACAGGAGGGGGCCTTCAATACAAGGAATATTATGACAGTATCAGGCATGAACTATCAATGAAACATACACATTTATTTAATAAGAGTACCTTGCGCTTGATTCCTGCAGGTAGTTTCTTTACAGTTTTCTGAAGATGTTCTTTCAAATCGAGTGCATTTGTTATTCTGCAGAATAAACACCACAAAATGAGTCTATTATCACCCACTGTGATCACTGACATTTTTTCTAGAATACTCAGTTGAAGTTTACTATATTAGACCTCCAATTTATATCATTTTAAACAAAATATCTTCATTAAAAGGTTCACTTTAAGTTTCATGACAACTATAGGTATATTCATTCTGTAATTAGAAACAGAAATATTGCCTTTTTATTTTCCTAGGTACCATAATTCAGTAAAGAATATAAGAAAAAGTAATGACCATTTTCCATGAAAATTATGATATAAGGAAATGCTTATGAAAATTTTAAAATATGAAATGTAAATCTTTCTCCAGGCAACAAAAAAATTCTAAACTTTACCGATTTGTGACTTCTTTCACATCACTTGGACTCATTCCTTTTACAGCCCCATAAATTTCAAAATGTTCCTGCAATGTAATATATGACCACAGTGGGTTTATCTGAGGACAGTAGCCCATACATTTAATGGAATCATCATCTTCAGCTGGGTCTGAAGAATAATCTCCTAGAAATACCTAAAGAAATACAAACCAGTTTCAAATAACTATTTTTGCTTAATTTACATTGTAAAGAGAGTGGCAAGTGAATTAATTCAAACTCCTTCCTAGAGCTAGGGTAATATCAGATCAGATTTTTACTCTTTTTGAGGAAGAAAAAACATATAGCTAAATCAGAATTCAGTGACATGGCCAAGAAGGGTAACCAGGAATGCAGCACTGACTGGGAAAGCAAGCCCCGATTTTAACTGGGATGATTGGGGGGCCTCGCCAGAAGGTGATATTTGAGCTAGGGAAGTAAGCGGATTTACTCATTTGGATTTCTACAGGGTAAGGAATAGCCAACATAAGAAATACCTAAGGCAAAAACCCAAAGAAAAGAGTGTGCCTGGCATTTTCCAGGAAAGCAGTTAGCCAGTGTGGCTGGTGTGAAGTGAGCAACGGGGAGAGGAGCAGGAAACAGCATCAGAGCAGTTTTGTGAAGTTTCCAAAACTAGTAAATGATATTCTTACAATCAAAGACTAGTTGGTGGCAGGGTCAAGACTAGCTCCTATATCTCCTAAAGTTAAAACTGTCTTCTATTCAGCTGGCGGACAAATCACCCGTGCATGTATAAAAGCAGAAATACTGTACATGTGTGTCTGTATGTACATTATGAAAATTTTCTATGTATGTTATTTTCACAGATAACCAAAAAGATCACAATTTTTATACAAAAAATGTATTAGAAACATAAAATTTAAGCATCAAAATTCTAATATGTCATTAAAAAATCTGTTTTAATTCAAAATACGCATCATAGTCAACATATCCCCCACCCTTGCACATCATACCTGGCCTGAAGTGGGTTCAATGTCACCAACAAGAATATTAATAACTGTGCTCTTGCCTGCACCATTTGGGCCCAACAGTCCCAAGATCTCTCCTAAGGGAAATGAAAGAAAAATCATCACATGTAAATCAAATAAAAATAAAAATTACTCTTCTGGAAACGTTACTTAAGAAAAATATAACTAAATACCAGCCTTTTTTCACACAGAAAGAGATGTATTTAGTTGCCACTTTCTTTACTTTTCTTGTAAGAAGAAAATCTTTCTTGTCATCATATTCTTTATGCAAATTGCTGACCATAATGGCTGGTTTCTAACAAGGAAAACAGGATTTTAAAAGAGACTTATAAATATCATGAAATAACAGGCTGTACACAACTCATGTCCATAACATAAAAATTACATTTCCTAACAAAGGGTATTGTATAAACATTCACTTATTTATAAGGACTGAAATAAAGATTTATTCAAAAGGAAGTGGACAAAAATACTTTCTCAAAGACTTTTCAGATTGATTCATATGAAAAGAAAATATTTTTCAGATTAATCCCTATGCATGGGGAACTGATCATCGCACATTTAATACGACTTAGCAATAAAGGCTAACTTACCTCCTCACAACACTGGCAACCCATCAGCTCCCTGACCTTCAGTCTCTCAGCTTTGACATCTTCGTCCTCATCCTCGTTGTTTGGTGGTTCTGGAAACTTCCTATTTCGGGACTTTGTTGAAAGGGTCCTAAATATATGAAGATAGATTTTCAAATAATTAAAATAGTAAGAAATTAAAGCACTACATAGAGAAAAGACTGAAAAGATATACCAAGATGAGATCTGTGGTTATATCTGAAAGATGGAATTAAAAAGCTGTATTTCATTCATTGATACCACTTAGATAGTATCTAAATTCATTCACTTATTCAACAATATCATTTATGACCATTATGTGTCAGACACGACTTCACGCAAAGAGAAAAAGATTTTAAAAAAGAAGAAACCATGGGCCCCTCTCTCAAAGCATTTCTGGCTGGAGTGTAAATGAGATTGCCACAGGAGATGTAAAGGGCTGACATAAGAACCCACAAAAACACCACGGAGGCAGACACAGTAAAAAGTGCTTCTAAAGGAAACTTTGACATAACAGTAAGGTAAAAAGGCAAACAGAGGAGCTGACGTTATGGAAAACAATGGAACAAGAGAAAAGCATAAGAAGAGGAATGAAATCAATCATGTTAAAGGCTGCAGATTAGTTAAATAAGTTGAGCCTACTTGACAAGACAAGAAGAAAGCATTAGTTATCAACGGAGAAGTAAGGTAGACACCAGATTGCAGGGAGTTAAAGAGTGAACGAATGGGAGGTGAGGAACTGGAGATGGAAGCTTTTTGGCTATGAGAGGAGAGAGATGGGCTAAGAACTAGAAAGGGATTCAGGTTTAAATGTGATTTATGAGTTCTGATGTCTATTACTTTGTTTTAAATGAGAGAAAGGTGACTCCCCTCCCAAAAGAAAAAGACTCTGTTAAGGGAAAGACACAGAAAGAGAAAATTGACTGAGCAACATCCTTAGGTAGAAAGAATAAATAACGACTTGGATAATAGGAGGGACACCTCTTGCTCTCGGACTAGGAAAAGGCAAAAATGATGAAAGCGTGTAAAACATTTAATTTATAATTAAGTGCTTTTGTTTCCTGAAATGGCAATATCATCTAAGAAGTAGAAAATGAGGTCATGTGAGCTGAACTGGGAATCTGAGGAATACAAAGAAGGCTTGGGGTAAGGACTGAACAGAAAGAGGAAGGGTGCTGACTAGGAAAATGAGACAGGGTTACCAGGGTTAAAACAAAGCTGAGTGTATATGGGATGAATATGCAGTATTATCAAACTGCATTTTTATGTTAATTTTCTCTCACATATAAATAGGTTGACTGAAATTGTAAATTTTAGTCAAAGAGATACAGAAGATGAGAGTGTTAAAAGAGGGTGAAAGTGATGAATGATGTGAGCAAGGCGGGACAGAGAAAATAAATAATTTTTAAATTTGAAATACTCTGTGAAAAGAAAATGCACAGACCTGGAGAAAATACTTTCAAATTGTATAATCCATCTGATAAGAGACTTCTATCCAGAATATATAAAGAACTCTTATAAGTCAAGAATATAAAGACACCCAATTTTGTCTTTTTCCTCCATCTCTCTCACTCCCTGCCTCTGAGAGGAGACCACGCTCTGTCTGTGGAGTGTTACCCCTTTTCTAACTTTTGACTCTAACTTGGGCGTGTGTGTTGAACTTTCTACACTTTCTGCCAAAGGACCCTCTTCCTCTCTCAGTTCAGGGCTTGGTCTCCTCCAGCTCAGGGACATTTGCCCTGTCCTGCATCACTATTAATCTACAGCACTGCTTTCTGTTATTAGTTAGGTGTAGGGAGAGGTCTAAGTCATTTTGCTATACTTATCTTGGTTTAGGATGTAGAAAATGAGGATCCTGAGAAAAAAACAAATAAAAATAAAGACACCCAATTTTTTATGGGCAAAGAGTTCAAACAGACATTTCTCAAAATAAAATATAAAAATGGACAATAAGCACTTGAAAAGATGCTCAAAACATAAACCATCAAGGAAATGCAAATCAAAACCACAGTAAGACACCACTTCATACCCACCAGAATGGCTAAAATCAAAAAGATAACAATAACAAAAAAAAAATGTCAGCAAGGATGTGGAGAAAACAGAACCTTCTTACATTTCTAACGGGAATTTTCCGCAGTTTCAGTTACCTGTGGCCAACTGCAGTCCAAAAATACTCCAGAAATAAACGATTCATAAGTTTTATTTAAATTTCACACAATTCTGAGTAACAAGAGGAAATCTCATACCATCCCACTCCGTCTCGTCCAGGAAATGAATCATCACTTTGTACAGCACTCTTTAGGTCACTTAGTAGCCATCTAGGTTACCAGATCGACTATTTTAGTATCATGGTGCTTGTGTTCAAGTAATCCTTATTTTACTTAATAATAATGTCCTCAAAGCACAGAATAGTGATGCTGGTAATATGAATACGCCAAAGAAAGGCAGTAAAGGGCTTCCTTTAAGTGAAAAGATATGTATGTATAGGGAAAAAAAAACATATACACAGAGTTTGGTATACCATCTGTGATTTCAGGCATCCATTGAGGGATTCTAGGAGGTAACCCTGGCAGTTAATAGAATAATAGTGCAACCACTTTAGAAAAGTCTGACAATTCTTTAAAAGGTTAAACAGAGTTACCATGTGGTCCATCAATTCTCCTAGGTATCCACCCAAGAGAAATGAAAATATGTGTCCACACAAATGTTCACAGCATTATTATAATAGCCAAAAAGTGGAAACAACTCAAAATGTCCATCAACTGATGAATGGATAAATAGTGTCGTATATTCATACAATGTAATATTACTCAGCAAAAAAAAAAAAAAAAAGTAATGAAGTACTGCTATACGCTACAACATAGAAACACCTTTGAAACGTGCTAGGTAAAAGAAGCCAGAAAAAAAAAGACCACATAAGTATAATTCCTCTTATGTAAATGTTCAAAATTGGCCAGTCTATTATTTGGAGACAGAAAGTAGATCAGTGGTTATTATAGGGCTGGGGGTAAGTGGGAGGGATGGAGAAGTAACTACTAATGGGTACAAGGTTTCTTTTGAGGGCAATGAAAATGATCTAAAATTAGATTACGGTAATAGCTGCACAACTCTTTTCCAGAGTAGAACTCTGGACCACTAAAAAATATTAAACATAAAAAAAAAAATTAACTGACCTGAAAAAGGGATCCTTTCTTATTGATCTGCCTCCATATTTTTTCTCATAGTACTGTAAGAGGAAAATCCACAGTACGCACTGCAGGTAAGGCTAAAAGAAGAACATGTAATAGCTTGTGACTGAGTATTTTTTCTATACCAACAGAACGAAGAACCACATATGTCAATTTCCTTATCAATGCCAGAAAAATTAATCACATCTTTCTGTATGTCACATCAGTTAAGAATACATTTTAAAAGAACCCAAGGTAGATGTTTAGTAAAATAATCCTTCATATACTTTTCTACCTCTGTACAGACCATTGGTTATCGGCTTCATAAAATATAATCAGAAAAAAAAGCTTTGTTTTTGAATCTAAGGAAGCCGGACTTATAAATATAATTAATAATATAAAAAAGCCAAGAATATTAAAATGGACATATTCAGTAAATGAAAGGTATTACCACCAAAATGCACATTAGCTAGCATTAACACACTTGACTTTTATGCACCTTCATTTTTAAGCAACAGGATACAAACTAAAAAGAGTTAAAATCATACAATCGAACCTCTTAAGGTAACATGTTAACACAGAAATATGTTTGTTATTTCTTACCGATATAACAGCCACCAAAAGCCTATCCCATGGGTCATAGGTATCCTTATTTTTTCTAATATTCTTCCAAGAAACCTAAAACAAAATTTTTTGAAAATTTACGTTGCTGCAATATCATGAAATAATTATATTTGGTCTGTGACCCGGGTTCCTGGCACACAGCTTCTAACATCCTTAAAATTTCCTGAGTGACAGAGGTGATAAGAGCATCTTCTATTAATTAAAATAAGCCCTTTTAACAAAATGATTGGAACTTCAGCAGCATCCATCCACTGACCATCAGGGAGGCGGAAAGGGTTTAGCAATTAAATCATCGTGCCTAGTAATGGAACCTCCATGAAAACCATAAAGACAAGATTTGGAGAACTTCCAAGCTGATGAATGCATCCTCACGTTGGGAGGGTGGCACACTCCAATCTCCACAGAGACAGAAGCTCCTGCACTTGGACCCTTCTGGACCTTGCCCTATTATCTCTTAACCTGGCTGTTCACTTGTATATCTGTTATAACAAGTTGATAATAGGAAATAAAATATTTCCCTGAGTTCCATAAGCCATTGTAGCAACTAATTGAACCTGAGAAGGGGTCAGTGGAACCCTGGATTTGCAGCCAAGTCAGACAGAAGTATAAGTAGCCTGGGAACCCACTACTTGCCATTGGCATCTGAAGCGGGGGGCAGTTTTGTGAGATTGAGCCCTTAAAGTGTTAGGGCTGTGCTAACTGCAAATAGTCAGTATTACTCTATGTGGGGGAAAACTCACACACTTGGTATCAGAAGTATTGTGAGCTCCAATGTGTAGAAATATTTGGATTAAAATGAAAAAAAATGCATTCTGTTCAGCAAACATGCATTCTGCATCGATAAGTAAGCTACTAATATTAATAGCCATGATTTTTATTTCAATTCTTCCCTATCCCAAAATATTTCTATCTGGGGAGATAATATAAATTAAACATATTAAACTGAAACAAACAAAGGAGGGGGAAAAGAGGTTAGTGAGTAGAACTAATCAGCAATCATCTCATGTCAATAATTCATCACTTAATTTTTTTTAATTACATGGAAATTTTCTTTCAATTATCCAGGCTCAATAAAACGAACCTGTTTTATTTTTTCTCTGAAAAAAAAAACAACAACAACACTCTACACTGTATTTTTCTCTCATTTCTTTATTGTACAATACATTACTTAATTCTTGAAAAACTCCCTCAGATACTAACTAAAGTCATATTGTACTTATAATTCATGAACATGTATCATTTGGTGCATCAAAGAACATAGCCCTACTTTGAGACTTTAAAGTTTAAAAACCAAAAAAGATTCCACAGTAATTTTAAACTGCTGTAATAATAATATTTAAATCAAGCAGTAGCAGCTAACACAATGGATTTTTTACTATTTTCAGTATAAGAACTAAAATCTCAAAGATTAGGCACTATTTGTGCTTTTTAAATATGAACACATCTAGCAGACCTACCTTTATGAAACAAATCAGACAACCTAGAAGTGGATAGATCGGAATGGCTATGCAAAAGGTATAATGAAGAATAGCTGTAACTGTATATCCCATAAAGTAAGTTACTTCGGTGATTGCAATGCAAGCCAATGCTGTCTAAAGGGGGAAAAAATGAGAAAACAAGTGAAAAAGTGTTAGAAATTTTATACTCAGCATTAACTATGTTTTCAATCCCTGGTAAAACATGGAACCAGAGGTGATAATTAGCCAGGAAGCGCCAGCACATTGGTACCAGTTGTTTTTAGCTGGCACCCGTGCCATGCAGTTGGTAAATGCTTCAATTATCATCCCTTCATGGAATGGATGATGCAGAGACAAATACACAGATAATAAGATGCTGCCAGCTATCTACTTAAGTTTTGTGCTTAGAAAAGATACAGTAACATTTCTGAGTATAATCCTGAAAGAGTTCAGGACTCTTTTAAAAGTATAACCATGAACTTCAAATGAGTTACTATGAAAAGTTAGGATGAGATAATATAAAATGTGACTTACCACAGAATAGATAAATGACCAAAATTCTTTGGTATTCAAAATTTTTTTAAAAGTGAAAGAAGTAATATAAGTAAACAGAATAACTGATGGAACATAACCAATAAGACAAAATACCTGTAAAACAAAAAAGTGTAATTTTATATAAGAATATGAATAACTAGCAATATGTAGATATAAAACGCCAGCCATATTAAAATACTAAGAAATAATTATTCTTCAAATTTTATTGCTCAACAAATCACTCCCTAAAATGATATTGTGATAGGAGTTACCATGGACATTTCACCTAAATCAATAAAACTCATGCTTTTAACTAATTAACACAATCCTGCATAATTTGTGTAAACTGTACACTATTTGCAGTTTTCTCTACCAAGTAAAATGCTATCTCTTATTTTATTATAAAAACAAGTATAACTGGTTACAACTTTACCTTTATCAACTGTTAGCTATCATTTTAATATATAGCATTTAATGCACTTTGTAAATTTTAAGGAAAATATTTATTAATTTATAAGGCAGAAATTAATATGTAAGGTCAGTATGATCTCTGGAAAAACAGAGTTTACTTTCAGCAATCCCAACCTCACCTAGCTCTGTTTTCCTTTTCCCTCAGATGAATCATTCATATGAAAGTGTCTGGTAACAGTTATTTACATGTGAACATGAATGCGAATCACATTGTTTCTTAATATTTTAACCTATATTTTAAATTATGGAATAAAAGAGCTGCTTCTTTGTGAAATTATTTTTAGGCATGGAGAGAGACAGAGAAGACATTTTAAGAAAGCACTGCTTAAATATTCCTGATTACACACAAGCAGGCAGCCTACATGAAAGGTCACCTCAGTGACAAAGAATTATTTTATAATGGTAGTAAGTTATTGTTTTTAAAAATTGCTTATAGTAATATAAATTGCATTGGTTATAGGTGTCATATACAATAATTAAATAGAATCTGGTTCTACTGTCTGTAAAAAATATTAATTATCCAAATTACTTAACCAGCCAATTGTCAAATTTATTAAGAATTCATTTTTTTAAATAGCATTTTATTTATAAATGGTACAACTGAGGTTAACTTACCACAGAAAGGAATTTTACAGCATAAAAATATAGTCCATAGTGAAATGCAAATAAACTTCCTAGCATCAAAATAAGAACAACAAAAAATAAGGGGATATCAACAACAGCTTGTCCGATCCAATATGCAGAGGGCAAAAGACCTGAAAGTTTAAGTTGAGTATAAGCTTTGATCTAAAAAAAAAGGGGGGAGAGGGAGAAATTAATTATAATTTTAAACATTTTGCAAACAAAAAACTCTAGCTAATTATTGTAGAACTCTTAATTTTACAACAACAAAACACTAAGTCTATATTCTAGGTCTATAGGTAATAAAAGCCCTCCTTCACAGCTAAATATAAATTCCAGTTAGCCTTTAATTTTGATCATTATTTCTGAAGTGTAACAATTTAAATAAAGTTTTACAGAATCATATTACAGCAGTGCTGCTAAGAAATAAAACTAAAATAGAACAAAAGGTGTCACTGGGATTATAACTGTACAACAGTAATTCTATATCACAGTAGTCAAAACATGATTGTGTGTGAAAATCTGTGGAAATAGAAAAATATGTTTTAAACAGGAAAACGACTCTTACTTTTAAAAACTGACCTTTCACAAAAACACTTACAAACTGCCAGGTACCCTCTCGATTTACATAGGGCTTTCAGCTTAAGCATGAAACTTTGTACAGATAATGCATTTAAAAGCCTCTTATAGACTCTAGTGTAGTACATAAATGTAAGTTGTTCATGTTAACACAAATAAACAGCATTTTCATGAATACTAAGAATAACTTGAATGATCATATTCTTCTAAATCTCTAATACTCTCATTACTTAATTTGAAATTTTAAAAATCTTTTACAAATCCAAATTCCTAACAATTTTATTCAGTTAATTTCCATCATCTACAAAAACATCACTCCTAATAACTAAAAGTATTATATAAAAGAACTAGCCATAGAGTAAGGTAAGGGAAACATGGAAAATAACGTTTAGTTAGGGAAAAGAGGAAGAATGATAAACAATGGATCATTTTTATGTTCAATGAATTATAAGAACAAAAATATAAATTCCAACGTAAGTATAAAAATGTAAACCAAGTCAAATACAATTATTTTCAATAATCCAACTGAATGCTTTTGTTATTTATAATTGCAGGTGTGAATGTATACCTACTCTGGAAAACAGTTTGTCAATTTTTTATAAAATTAAACACACCATCACCATACAACATAGCCTTTACTTCTGAGCATTTATCCCAGAAAAATAAAAACTTACATTCACACAAAAATTTGTATGCAAATGTTCATAGCGGCTTAATTCATAATAGTCCAAAAATGGAAACAATCCAGATCCACACCATGGAACACTACCCAGCAATAAAAGGAACGAACACTGATACGTGCAAATTGGATGGCTCTTTAGGGAATTATGCTGAGTGAAAAAAGCCAATCCCAAAAGAAAGTATGCTGTGATTTCATTTATACATTCTTGAAATAGCGAAATTATAGAAATGGAGAATAGATTAGTGGTTGCCAGAGGTCAGGGAGGGGGTGGATGGGCGTGTGGGCTTGGAAAAGGCAACAGAAGGGATCTTTGTGGTGACAGTACTGCTCTGTATCCTCATGCATCAATGTCAAGATCCTGGCTGTGCGATTGTACTATAATTTTGCAAGATGTTATATTGAGGTAAAGTGGATATGGGTACATAGGCTCCCACTGTATTATTTCTTACAATCTACAATCTACAATTACCACAAAATAAAAATTTGAATTAAAAAACATTTAGGTTGAAACAAAAATGAGAAAAATGCAACTGTCTAATAAGTTTTATCTTTGAGGAGTGGAGATTATGGATGGCTTTTTTTCTTTATACTTTTCTATATTTTCTAAATTAGTAAAATGTATAACAGAAAAATTGAATATATTTTAAAAATATCTCTTGAAACTTATGTATTACTTTTACATGAGGCTTAATCTCATTATTAATCACACTGTATAAAGTAATTTAGATAAACTTGCTTCCAATGAACTAAGAAAAGAGATGAAGAGAATGAAAAATTCTGACTCAAGGAGTCACAGAGACAATCTCAGGCTAGGGAAATTGTGGAAGGCTTTGAACTGCCAAAAGATCACCATCTGCCTGGATGGAGGACATCAAAAAGAGAAAGGAGCAGAAAAGAAGGTGAAAAAATACTAAAAATATCCTCTGTTCAATAAAAAGAATGAACACTGATGTGTGCAAATTGGATGAATCTCCAGGGAATTATGCTGAGTGAGAAAAGCCAATCCCAAAAGAAAATACACTGTGATTTTTTTTATCACATAGCAATTTTTCCTAGGCTCAGGTGATGACCATCGTTTATTTTACATCAATTAAGTGTCTTACACAATAAATGCATTCTATTAAAGGTTAAAGGAGAGAGGCAGTTTAGTGAACCAATTAAGAACAAAAGGACCACAGACAAGTGTCAGATCTTACTTAAACAAGAGGAGTCAACCTAGCTGGACACATTACATGAACACTCCCATCCTCCATTTCCTGACCTACACAGTGGGTAACATAAAACTTACCTCACCATGTTGTAGGGATTAAAAGATGTAACTTTTAAAGCACATGGCAAGGATTTGAGTGACAAATGATAGTTAATACCATTAAGAAATTATAATGAATGTATTTACACTCCATTTACTTACTTCTGAAATAATAATTATACATAAGTCTCACACTCATGCAAAATAGGTTATTGTTTGAATGAAATTTCTTAGCAATCTACACCGGTAATTTTTTTAACTGTGTTATTACCTTATGATTCTCTGCATTTTCCATGGCGAAGTAAGGTGGCATTGCACTAACAATGATTCCAAGTAAAGCTGCTTGAAAATACAGCTCAATTTTAAAAACTATGTCTGTAATTTCCTGAAAGACAATCACAGAATAAGAAACAGAGCTGAGAAGCACTTTATATCATCTTAGTACCTTCTAAAAGACTATCAGAAACTCTGAAGAAACATGTTAGAACAATCATCTCAGTTGCAGTCTATAAGAAAAAACAGGTGCCAGAGTTAACAGGCAGTGAACTACAATATCAGCTTTGCTATCTCTTAAATAGCTATATGATCCTGAGCAAAGCACTCTACTTCCATTTTCTTATCTTCATCATAGAATGTGGCATATAAATTAAACTTCACCATTTAATTAAAAATTATAACTGCATGAAAAGCAGTTAACGCATTGACCAGTGGTCCCATGCAATGAGCACGACCATCTCGGAATGCCCTCTGATGCCTTCATTGGTTACCTGGACTCTAAGGCAGCTGGGATCTTTGAGCCCCACTTCTCTGCAATGGGATGAGCTGTACTTAGCTCAACTTCCTAGGGAATCCAGAGCTGCTTCACCCCAGCAGGGGGACTATAACTTCCACAGGCTCCCAAGGTCCCTAGCTGTCCGAAGGGTCCAAGTACAGAGAGTAACCCTTTCCAGATAACTTCATAAACAGCTAGCGCCCCAAATGCAAACTACCCAAAACCAAGTGTACTGTATTACCCGCCACACTGCATGGGTGTATCAGAAGATACTCTCGTGGGACAGGGAAAGCATTCTGCACTAGAGGAGAACCTGCGCCATGTCCAGCGGACACCTGGCCTTGGCACATCCCTCCACAAGATGACGTGGGAACGGACTGCCTTCTGCATTTTTACAAATAAAGCTAATTCCTTAATTCATGCCATACAACACTGCAGAATTTTCCCCAAACTCTGGTACATTATTACAGTGGCTAAAACCAACAAATATGTAAGCTAAGTAGTACAAGAAATGGAGATTAATGAGACTACAGTTGGATTCAATCACATAGAATCTGATGGGAGAAAAAAATGGAACATTAATAAGATTAGATTTATGAATAATGAGCTTTAAAAAGTCTCATTTCGTTCCCTCTGGTTTTAAAAAAATAATATGGTTATATGTCAATATAATGTAAGTTGCAAGATCTATTGTAATAGTTATGGATAAATAACAAATGTAGCAACATTATAAAAACGTGTGGGAATTATAAATTTTGAACTGTGGTTACTTCGTGGAGCTAGAGAAGGAAACGAGATTGGGGAGGGGTACACTATGAATTTCGACTGTATCTTTAAAGTTTAAAAATATTTCTTAAAGTATAACAAAATATTAACATTTGAAACCTTTGAGTAGTAGATACATGGTTATTTTCTGTAGGCTTGAAACATTCTACAATTTAAAAAACCAGAAAGGATGATCAACAACTTTGATGATTTCAATACCACCTATGCACTGTTGACTCAAATATTTTATTTCCTATCCAGAAATCTCTCCAAATTCATACATCCAAATGCCTACTCCATTTGCACCAGGCACAAATGTCACAACTCAGCATGCTTAAAACTGAAATCAGTTATCTCCACTGCAGCAAAAGTCTCTCTTCCACTTATATTCTCAAAATTAGTGAATACTAATATGCACATTACCCGAAACTGTAAGAAATGATTCATTTCCTCTTTTCACTTCACAAATGCAACCGTGATAAAGTATGCCACATATTTCTTTAACATCCTTTTCCCTCTGACACTATTATTACTGCCCCTGCATTAATTCAAACACTTGTCATCTCCTCTCATATAATCTATTTAGTAAAATATGTTACTAATATGATTTCTTTAAATTTCTTTCCACGATTCTCACAGAAATCCCTTCCCACCTTGGTGCCAGTTATCTTTTTAAAATGCAAATTTAATATTACTTTGTCCCCATGTCTAGCTATAGGTGTAACGAGAAGAATACTAGATTAATCTTCTATGTGATTTCCATTGGAAGACAGCAAAAGATTACAGCAAAAAAAGTTTTAGGTGTAGATTATATAGTCATAGAAACAGAAAGTAGATTAGTGGTGAGCTGGGGATGAAGGTGGGGAGGATCAACTAATAGGTACAAGGGTTTCTGGGAAAGTGATGGAATATAAACTGATCATGGTAATGGCTGCAGAACTCTACAAACACAATAAAAAGCACTGACTTGTACATTTTAAATGGGTGAATTAGATAGTGTATGACTAAACTCAAAAGAGCTGTTAAAAAGCAGTACAGCAATAGAAAATAAAAAATGCTATTATAGAAATATATTTGTCCATTTATTTTTCAGTAGACAAAAAAAACCCATAAGGATTGAGAGAAAAATGTTGATTATTTTTTCCGGAGACTTAAGTTAATTTTCGTTATTTATAATTCCATAGTCCTACCAAGAGGAAAAATAATTGTCTGGGTGACTTCTCAGGGTTTTTTCAATACCCCAGAATCCAGATTTCAGATGAACAATATTCGTTTTTAAATTATCTTAATTTTTCTATGATTAATATGAAAAATACTTATGCTTTACAAAAGTATCAGTACTAAGACAGAACCTCCTTGACCCTGAAGCAAACTAATACTGGGGACTCCTAAACCCAAAAGTAAACCATCCTCAACTCAAGCTTTAAGATTAGATATCTTAAAGATGAATCTCTTCAGATTTCATTTGTTATTACCACTTGGCTTTTAATACTTACTTTACATACAAACATGTATTTTAAGCTTGCTTACTTGAAAGAATGGGGTATTCCAGACCTCGATGCTTCCAGTCACATTTGAATGGTAAAGATAATAGTTGCTAATGATATTCATCAATACAGGTAAAGAATAAACCATAGTACTGTTGAAAACAGCTGTAAAAACATAGTCCTACAATTTAAAAAAGAGACATTACATACCATATGTAAATATAAATGGATATATTGTTGCTATGTACCAAGCTTTTCTCACCAACTAAGCTAATTGTCACTAACTGTACTGAAAGCTGGTCAACAGATCGTAGAAATAATACTCAATGATAAAGACAAACTGGTTTGGAATCTACAGATATTTTGATATTTTAAACAAAAACATAAAATAAAAATAAATTCCTTGTAGCTTTATCGGTCATCCACCAGAGCATAAAATATATCATAAAATAAACTCTGCTACTATTTTCAAAAGTAAATTTTATTTTCCAACTAAAATTGAACATATGAAGCCAAATCATATGATCGATTTTAGAGGGAATATCTTAATCTTTTATATTTGTTTATATCCATTACTCTTACCTTTTCTGAATGCATCACATTTAAAGCTGCGCTATGGGGAGCAGCAGATACATAGTCGCTGTCATTAAACATCGTCACCATTATGTTCTGCTTTGTGAAAAAGCTAATAAGATCACTGATATCTGAGTCTGGTATTAGAAAATAAGCAAATAATAAAGAATCAGTTTAAATGAGAGACAGACACAGGCTTTTAATAACATAAGAAAGAGCTCCCTCTTTTTAAAGAAAGTATCTTATCTTCATTAGCTAAGATGTGATTAAGAACGTGGGCTCTGGAGCCAGGCAGCCTGGATTCAAACCCAAGTCAACACATACACAGGCCTTAGAACAGAACCTGACACAGGAACTGCAACTGCAAAAGTTAGCTGCTGCCACTGCCACTATTACTCACACTGAAATTTCATTGATAGTACATGAAATCTGGTGGAATAGTGAGAATAAAAATTTATCTCGCAATTTTAAGTCACAAGATAACCTGTGGGCTCAGAAAGGTAGAAGCCAGGATATAAAGATAGGTAGCATCACTCCTTAAAGGATTTCAGTGTGCTTTGAATAGACAAGTTTTATAAACATGATTGCCTTAACTACCTTAAAATATTAAAACACATAATCAGGTCTCCAACCAACTACATTCTCCAAATGCCTGGGCCAAGGGAAAAACTTTGAATCCTGTCTAAGGTTTAAATTCATACCAACATGCCTGATGAATGGAAACATTCCATTATCACAAAAGCCAGGATCTCAAAGGTGGGTCTGAAAAAAATCTAAACCAAGCAAAGGAAAACACTATCAGTAATTAAGCAGTATGGAAGGATGGATCACACTCAGCACCAAGCCTCAGTGTCAGAGAGAATGGTGCTTTTAGTGACATTACATTTATTCCTAATCTAGTGCCTTAATTGATCTCTTATCCCCAGCTCAGTACCCTTGGGAAGAGAGCCATAACTGAAGGAACTGGATCACCCATGATGCAAAAGGCTTTGCAAGGAGTATAAAATATCAACCAATCTATAAACACAGAAGCCAGTGATTCCTAAAGGAAACATAGCTTTATTTAGGATCAACAACAAGGCCTAGGAAAATATGGGATATGTATGTATGTAAGTAACTCTAGAAATACTAAAAAATAATAGAAGGGACAAAAACTTTGAAAATAACTCAAATTTCTGCAGATTAGTTGAGAATGAACTCAAAGCAGAAAGATTTGAAATACATGTACAATTCCCCAAATACACAAAAACTGTCACAATATCTGAATAACAGGCTCCATGCAGTACTATATTTTAGCAAAACAAAATGTATATTAAAACCCAAAACAAGAATGTTAATGAAAGAAACTGCGAAACATGACATTTTCTATTCAAACAATTTTCTATCACTAAGTGCATTCTTCCTCCAAAAAAATAAAACTTACATAGTAAACTGAGAGCTAGATTTTAAGAGTGATGATTTAAGAGTAATTTATAATCACCCCTAACTATGATTATTTTAGCACTGGGCAAAGGTCTTCAGTTAACAGTGAATCAAAAGGAAAGATACTAGAATATAGGTAAAGTGCTAGGAGATGTTAAACCCCAAAGAGTTTTGAGTTTAGACAGGGTTGTATGAAATGCAACTTTCTAACGTACTTCAGCAAGAGAAGTAAATGAAACACCTTTTTCTTTTGCTGTAAATTTGCCAGAGTTAGCTAACCTTGATTTTCTCTTCAAGAAACTTGGGACTACAACTATCTTTGCAGATGGGAGATGTTGTAGCAACTGATCATGTATAAATAAAATTTTGTATTAGGTTTCATTATTTTGAAAAGCAGAATCCTATGTCAGTTATTTTAACTTTGTTCTGACCCTTGCTCATGGCCATGTGTTTTTTAATTTTTTTCATATTTAATAATTATGTAGTAAGAATAATGAATAGCAAATCCAAAAACATCCATTACAAATGTAATGCATTTGATAAGTATTTATATCTAAGATGACTTTTCTTAATTTTTCAGATAGTCCTTGAAGACTTAAACATATCTATTTATATACATAACTGCATAAATATTATAAGCTGTAACTTTCAAAAGAGGGTTTTTTCAACTTCTGTTCCTCTTGCTCATCATAAACTTTGAGATGAAACACACCGCTCTGAGAATAATGTTTTTAATACTAAAAAAGAAAATTTTATAAGTAGTATAAATTAGGCTATTTTAAAAAGCTGTCATTTATACTGAAACCAAAATTTCATTTCTGTAACATATTACTCAGCATTAATGAGTTTTATGTAATTTAGATTTGTGCAGAAAGAACATGCCTTTACCTTACATTTCTAAAATCCTTATCTCTGACCTATATTTACCCCTCATCCCCGTACCCCGACCAACACACATTCACAGACCTTCACACACTCTCACCAGTAGAATTTTGAAGAAGCAGACTTGTTTTGTATTTATGAGGCTTATCTCCAGGTTTTAGGAAATACAAGTCTGGAACGAGTTTGATGGGAACCACAGCATTTTTAAAAGAGTGATGCACCAAAAACATAAAAATCTGGACTGCAAAAAAAATTAAAAGGAGAAGCAACCTGAAAGACAAAAAATATATATTTTTTGCATATTTCACCACAGAATACTTTTTGTTATGGATTGAATGTCTGTGCCATCCTCCCCCCGCGGTTCTAACGTTGAAACCCTAACCCCCATGCGATAGTATCTGGAAATGAGGCCTATGGGAGGTAATCATGTTAGATGAGGTCACATTAGATTAGGAGAGGAACCTAATGATGGGATTAGTGCCCTAATAAGAGACACCAGAGAGTTTGCTCTCTCTTTTCCTGTGCATGCACAAATAGGTCATGTGAGCTACACAGCAAGATGGTGGCCCATCTGCAAGCCAGGAAGAGAACCCAGAACCCACCATGCTGGTATTCTACTGTGACTTCTGGCCTCCAGAACTGTGTGAAAATAAATTTCTGTTACTCAAGCCATCCAGTCTACGTTATTTTGTAATGACGGCCCAAGCTAAATAAGGTATTTCTACTGTTTTTCAGGAAGTATTTTATGAGAGAAGTGTTTAATTAAATAAACTGAAACATGCTAATTTAAATAAATATTTTCCTTTCAGTAATGCTGACACTTGACTATATCAGATACTTGACTGACATTTGATACTGAATAAATTTGGACAAAAAAGTAAGAGAATTCAGCATACTTCAACATATAACAAAACTCTTATTCTTGAATATTAAGTTTTATCTCTATCGCCATTTTGGATCTAACAACACATTAATGGTATATGAAAGTACTTAATATTAGTTCCAAATAATTCATTGTCTAGCGCCCCAAGGAAACCTAACTGAGAGGCAAAGCTAAGTGGAAAAGATGTCATTTAGATCCCAGTTCTACCAGCTATAAAGCCTCCTTTATATTTCAGTTTATTCATCTACTATAGAGGGATAAAACGTATTCTTCCCACTGTTTACCAATACATATTAGTAATAGATATAAAACAACTGTGAAATATATGAATGCAAAATAAAATTTAAATACAATGACAGTATTCAAAAATTATACAATTAGAGAATATTATTTTTCACTCCCTTATTTTATAAATAAGACCAAAAAAATGCTAGTTTAAAAAAGGGTAAAGCTCTAATGGTATTCAATGAAATTAGAGATTAGTTTTAATATTTCAAAACTACAAAGATTATTTACATGTCTACATTTTAAAAATTAAGATGATAAACCTGATTTTGTACCGTTAGGAAAGTCTCATCAGGCAGAAGAGCGG